CGCGTCTTTGCACTTGAGGAAAGAACAAGAATTAAATTACTTTTTTCTTTACCTTTTCATTTCAGAAAAAAAAAAGTAATCACATTAATAATTGGTCAAAAAAAAGAATTATTCATGTTTTCCCTAGGTAAGTGTTTACTTTATAAAAATCATGGTAATTTAGATGAAAAGAGAGAGTGAATCTGTAAATACAGTCATTAGTAATTATGAAACTAATGGCCATCAAAGTAGGCCTATTTCTTCTTTCTTCATTTATAGTGTTTTAGTCTATATCCCCCTGGATTCATTTCTGTTTTAATATCTTATACATCAATCAATTTTGAGACTTTATTTTAGCCATTTTAATTTATTGATTACATCTTCTGTCTTTGCCTGAGGTTATAAATGTGACATCATCTGCATGAATCATTTTGTGCATCAACTGTTTCCTCTAAATCTGACATTAGTAGTTGACGAGGGTTGGGCTTAGTGGAGATCCTTGTGGTCCCCTTTTGTATTATTTTCTTTTTTTGCATTGCTATCCCCTATTGCAATTTGAAAAGCCCTGCCCTTGTTTATAATGTATAGTGATGAACCTATAATTCCCCATTCTGCAGTTTTGAATAATATTGCTTCATTTTTTGTAGAACCGAAAGTTTTTTTCAAAATCAATACATTGAATCGATACATTCAAAATAAATACAATGAAGGCATACCTTTTTTTTCTCTTCTAGCTTTATTAATTTGCAGTGTGATTAGGTCTGAACCTATTTCTAGCCTTCAAACATTTTTTATATTTATCATACTCTTAATTTTTATTTTTTCTATACCATGATGATGTAAATCATCATGGTATAGAAATCTGATCTTAATATTGGATTGACTAGAGCATTTCTTCTTCATCTGGATGTTGTTCTTTGGACCAGTAATGATTTATGATTCATTTTGCAATAGTTTCCTTTGAGCCTATTGGTAAAATTTAGATGTTATTTCATCCAACCCATATGCTTTTTGTTTTTTGCACTTTGTATGGCTGTTCTTACTCTATAGTTTTTTCTACTATTATTTTAAGTTCTTTAATAACTGAGAGTTTTAATAGTTTTATTTTTAGGGATTTTCTTTCTTTTTTTGAAATGGTAAAGCTTTTTCTAAAGTTTCACACATTTCTTGTAGGTGTTTTAAAGCCTAGTGAGACACAGAAATTTTTTCAAGGATTTTTCTTCTTTTTTGCTAATCTAACTGCTGTTATCCCATTGCCGCCGGGGAAAATGCTGTGCCTATTTTCTACACTCTTTTGTTAAATGTTAAATTTTTTAACATTAGTAACAGCAAAATAAGATAACGTAAAATATTTCGTAAATCAAAGAAAAGGGTGAACGGGCGAGACAGGCGGTACTCGTAACTGGCTCATTTGTGATTTAGTACAAGTGTAGCCATCTATGTGTGAAAACAATCCAACAAGTAATCTCACAGTGGGCATGGCATGACATGCCCGGCGGGAATGGGTTAATTGTTTCCCATGTTGGAATAGGATTTCCTGACAGCTTTTTCTTCCGCATTTGTTGCATGCTTCGTTTCTAGTGCTAGGTTACAATGTTTATTCCTCCATGAGATTATTGATTCTATTATCATTGTTTTATATTTTATTCATTTATTTTTTTAGATGGTTAAATTACTGAAATATTTTATGCTTTCAATATCTTTACTTTCTAGTTCTTTTTTGTATTTCCTCCAAACATGAAGTTTTTTTTTTTTTTTTTTTTTAAGGTTAAGGTGACTTAATGAGCTTCCTTTTGCATTACTGGGATCTACTCCTGTAGTATGGCCTGGAGGTATTAGCAAAATTATATTATATTGACTAATGAGTTCAAACAGGTTTTTTGCTCCTGTAATATTTGGAAATTAAAAGTTTAAATTTGGGTTCCAACACATGTACTGCCCTTATGCAAAAGCTAAACCCCTCCAATTGGTTCTCTTCTGTCCTTTCTAATTATGTCATAATTTTTAAAATTAAGCTTATTATTATTATTTTTTTTTTTGCCAGATCTTACATAGTCCTATCTCATTTTTTATTCATAGAGGATGTTTTTATCTAAGTATTTCATTATCTTTTATGGTTAGAGTTCCATCATATATAGTTTGTAAGAATTTCTATAATTTCTTTCAGAATGTATGTTGATTATTACATTTGGTATCACACTGACTATATATATATTTTTTTATTGTTTTCACCCATGAGAAGTCTTTATTCATCTGAGTATCTTTTTGTCATTCTATTTTCCTTATTGGAGTTCTGTCTTTAATGGGTGTTGGTAGAGACACCATTATCGGAGAATCTTGTATTGTTTTAGTGATTGGGTTTTTTATGTTTTTTTTTTCTGTTTAATTCATCATTCTTTACTTGTGATTTTTTCTTAGGTTTCACTGGATTCTTTGTCCTAATGTTAAAGTTTGAGATTGGTTGAATGTCTGTGCATATGATTGTGCTGTGTTGTGTCCTGTTGTTTGTAAACTTGTGCTTTTTTGTGTGTGATGTGTTTTGGCTGGTTTTTTGGTGTAAGGGCTTCAAGAGTTGATGTCTTTCCTTTGAAGAGGCTTTAACTATATATATATATATATATATATATATATATATATATATATATATATTTTTGTATCATTATTTATTTTACATGAATTTGTGTTGGGTGGGTGATCACCATGACAATAAAAGCAGTATTCTTTATTTAGGCAACATTTGTAATTATGATTAAATTGGCCACATTTACTGCATTTTCTATTATCATTGAAGTCATGATCCCATGTCCACACCTGTCACCTGAAATATTTGGAAATGGGGAAAGTATATTGATGGATTGAGTAAAGATGTATTATTGCTAATTCTTCTGGGAATTGGCCTTTGAATGTTAATTTTATAGACTGTTGGAACCTATATCATTTTTATTATATTTTTTTTGTTTACCTTTTTTTCTTAGTATTTCAACTATTTCTGTTATGCTTACACTTATTCTTACTTTTTCTTTGATCTTTGGGGTTAAGTGTATTTCCACTGGAAATATAGTGCCATATGAACATGATTTTCCTAGAGGCCACTTGTTTGGAATCTCCTAGTCTCCGATTTTATTAATTATGTATTATTTAAATATGTATTTGCGGAAGTCTGATTAGTGAATTTGTCATTTTGGGTTATTGAAATTTTAGGTTTCAGATTCACCAGTTCAATTGATAAATACTATCTTATGACTTGCTTGTACATCAGTGTGCCTTCAGTTGTAGCCGAGATCCTGCAGGTTTTGTTTCTCTGGAGATGTTTGGGATAAGGGTCTTCTTCGCTGTCACTGTTTTCTCGTAAACTTCTGTTTGATTAGGAATCAAAGTCAATATTACATTTGCCTAATTTTCCTCCTGGATTTGGATTGAGAGTTGTGTCCATTAAATTGTCTAATGTACTCTATACTCAAAAAGCTATAAATGTTGTTACATTCTTAATCTATGGTGGTACGACCCCAAATAATAGGCCTATATAAAGTGCAGTTGTAGTTTCAAAAACCTGCAAAAATCACATGGTTATATGTTCTTGTGCATATATATGGGGAGATTGATTGACATAGATACTCTATGTTTATGTTTGTGTATGTGCATATGATTATATAAATATATATAGACAGATAAATAGATATTTCAATATGTATATAAATTTTTCCACACATACACCCATATATATGTGTATATATATATGTATCTACATATATATATGTGCATATGTACATAGATATATATATATGCATATATACGTATATATATACATATATACATGTATACACATCTTTAAATATACATACGTATATATACACACACACAGACATACACGTATATTTCAATATGTATGCATGGATACATAGACATTTGCACACACACAAACATATGTATATATGCATATATAAGTTTTTTTTTATTATTATTATTAATTAGATTCCTGTTTTTCATGATTTTATTAATGATCTATGCAAGTACTTCATGAGCATTAGAATATAGTAGACTACTTTTTAACGACTTGATTTTTCACAGTTATAAGTAAAGAAATATTTGAATTCATTATTTTTCTAATTCTAGTGCCTCAATGGTTTGATTTTCTCAAATCTTGGGACTTGCAGTGTTAGGTGTTTTTCTTCTGGATGTTGGCATCACTTGCAGTTTGTTTAAAGTCTGCATAGGTGTTTTCTTAGTCTTGTGCGTTTTGTAGGGATACTTGTGAGGCACACATCTCGGTTCCTTTTTTCCTGGTCTAGTCCATGGTTTTGGGGTGCTGTCTTTGAGCTGATTCACAGACCTTCTTTACTGCAAGGTCTGCCATTTATGTGCTGTGACCCATTGTACGGTAGCCATTTGGTTAAATGTAATTTGTTTGTTGTTTTTGAGTTGTGCTTTTATAGTATTAAGATTGCTGAGAATGAATCTGTGAAGATTTCCGTGTTTATTAGTTTATTAAGTTCTAAATGCTTTAATACTTCTTTTGTTGCATAAAATTCTGCTTCTTTGAGTTGTGTATTGGTAATTTCCAGAATGATTTGAGTTCCTTTTTTATATATAGATGGCTACTGACGTTGATTGAGCTTCCTATATTTTTGATCCATCTATATATTTTTTTATAGTTGTTTCCATGGTTAATCTTTACAGTATGGTTACACTAAGGTAGAGCAAATTGCATGCACTAAGGTAAAACAAATTAAAGATATTGTTGTAGAGGATAAAAAGATACAGCTGTCAGCACAAGAAATGGTCTGCAGACACGAATGATAACACCACAAATAATGGGAAAAGATGTGGGAAGCACTGCTCACAGCCCAAGTCCACTCAGTGTTCCCTCGTATACAAAGGCGAAGACATTGTTTCCTCTAGGGTGTTGGGAGGCAGATCCCCCCATAGGCCCTCCATTTTAATAATTTCTTGACAGGTCTTTTGTGAAATTATCCATAAGCTTGGTTATGAATTTGTGGGAAAAGTCATATCATTGTCGTATTGGAGTTATATCAATTGTATTTATATATATATTATTTTTCGTTTTGCTTTTCAATGTCTTTGAGTCCAGGAAATTTGATCTGTTTTGTGATTGTATTCTTTGATATTTTTTAGTATTTGTTTATTGTTTTTTTTGTTTGTTTGTTTATTTAATATAATTAATTGAATGCAAGCTAATTCCTTTGTTATTTAGGGTTGTACATGAGGATTTGAAGTATTATATTAGGGTGGATTTGAAGTATCCTGTTGGTATTCTCAGAACTCTTTTATCTATCTCTCATTCTCTTTCTCTTTCTCATTAAAGGTTAGGCCTTATTAAGTTTTTACTTTTACACAAATATTATAAAATTTTACCACAGATGGTCTTTTGCTCCCCAGCTATTGAGAATATTTTTCTTCATTATGCTTATTTTGTTAAGAGATTTTACATGGATGTTTTCTATATATTTTATTAATTCTAATTTTGTAGAATGACGTCACAGACCTTGTAAATGTTAATTCGGTGAATTCTAGTTCTTCTAATCAAGTTTTTGGTAGGTTTCTTATATTTATGAAACAACTTATCTTTTATTAGATTTATTTTTAAATCCCACCTGCCTGCCCATTTTTTCTTTTGTTTTAGACATATAGTTCATGGCTTCATTTATAGTTTTACTTGTAGTGATTACTGTTACATTATGTGCGTGTTTGTTTGTTTTTTTCTTTTTCTAGTTCTGGCAATTCTTGATCATAACTCATTATGATAAAGTGTTAGGCTTAATGGGGACCTTTGTGGCTCACCACTCGACATTGTTCCCTGTACTGAATTTTTATTTCCTATTTTTATTAGGAATGCTTTCCTTTAAAGAAATGTCTTTCTAAATTGTTAGATTTTCATTTATTCCTAGGATTGGCATTTTTATTAGCAGCGCATCACACTTTTTTGCATCTAAGATATTTTCCTAATCTATGCATTCTAATAGAGTATATACATTTTTAGTTGGTCTGATATTTATTTAAGTTTTGTATTTTTACTTTTGTGGGGTTTTCTTCCCTGCTGTTATGCTCTGAGGTTTGAGTTATGGTGATTTCTGTTGAGTGTGTGTGGATTTCTTTATATTTTCATTGTTTGTGGGTATTCTTTGGTTGTGATTTAGTGTAGGGGTTAGCATGTAGTTTTCATTGGAATTGTTATAGTTATGATTAGGAGGGTCTCTCAAGCTATGAAACTATTTATGGCAAGGTAGTTTTGCATTGTTCTGTGTTTATCTGCCGTGCCAGATTTGTGTTTGGAGGGTCCTTCTCATAGAAGCAATATGGTTTATTTGAGCAATATTTATAATGGTTAAATTCACTGCATCTGCTACATCTCATTTGGGTTTTGCATGTCCTAATTCCACAACCATACTTGGGATAGCGAAGGTATAATACTGTATTTGTATTTTCTTTATCTTTACAAATTTTATTGATCTTGATCACTTCTATTATTTTTTTCTGTGTGTGTTGTATATATATATATATATATACATATGCATGTATATATATATATATATATATATATATATATATATATATATGTACATATGCATGTATATATATATATATATATATACATATGCATGTGTATATATATATATATATATATATATATATATACATATGCATGTATATATATATATATATATATATATATATATACATATGCATGTATACAATATATATACATATATAAGTACACATGTATCTGTATGTGTATATTTGTATACTGTTATATATTTGTATATACAATTATATATACATATATATATATTTTGTGTATATATACATATAGGTATATACGTATATATGTGTGTGTGTGTGTGTGTGTGTGTGTGTGTGTGTGTGTGTGTGTGTGTGTGTGTGTGTGTGTTGTGTGTGTGTGCGTATGTGTGTGTATATGTAAATATATAAATATAATTTTTCACTGAACAATATATAAATATATTTAAATATTTGTATGCACACATATATACATGAAGACACACACATACACGTATATATGTATGTGTGTATATATACAGAAAAATATATATAATTTTGTGTATGCATGTGTGAGTGAACATGATTAAATATTCTATATGTTTATTCTTATACATACAGAATATCTAATGTATATATATCTATTAGTCTATACATATACATATAGATTTATAAATGTATATGGATTAGATATTCATACATACATGCAGAAGCATACACACAAATTATATATATATATGTCTGTATATATATAAATACAGACAAAATTTGTTAGTTCATGTAAGTTTTTATATATAAATAAGCCTAAAAACCATAACTATGGTTCAAGCTGTTGACAGAGAAACAATATATTTGTAATATTAGTCATTAACAGTAGAAATTTTCAAAGGAAATTCTGCACATAATGAATTCATTTTATATATATATATATATATATATATATATATATATATATATATATATATATACCATGTTCAAGACTAAGTGCTTCACTTTTCCTTTCAG